CATGAAATACGATTGCCCACTTCAGACCACATCGCTTCTCATTAGCTGATGATTAATAGCACAGATAAATTCAAGAAAATTATTAAAAGAAATTGAACAAAAGTATAAAAATTAAAATGTCCACTTTCTAATATTTTAATAATTAATATTATATAGTCTGACTCTAAATTACATTTTAATAATTAATATTATATAGTCTGATCTAAATTAAATTTTATTAATTAATATTTTAATAATTAATATTGTATTGTCTGATCTAAATTGAATTTTAACAATTAATATTTTAAGTTTGAAAGAAATTTTTATTTGATATTTCGAAAGATTAAATTTAAATTGATCAAATGTAAATATTATACATTCTTTAAGCAATAATTATACAATATTCATTCATCCTCTAAAAATATTCCAAAAAAAATACGGAATTATCGGTTATCTTTGATCAGATATCATTTTTTTGATCAAATATCATTCCGGATCAGGTCAAAGTTATATTCAGTGATTAAATTCTGTAAACAAACCATTTCATGAATTCCCAATTTTTTTCCTTCGAAACTTATTGATTGAAATTTTCTGCATAATTATCGGAAAGAAAATATTATACTACAAGCAATTTACTCATATTATCAATGTTAATTTATATATTATACCTTATAATATATATACCTTATAATTAATATATTATACCTTATAAGTACATTATACCTTATAATTAATTTATTCATTAAATTAGCATTCAAAAAATAATTGCTAAATAATATAAACAAATTGGTACGATTAATTTCATATTTAAAATATGAAAGAAAAGAAGAAAGTTATACTATTGGAAAGTTCAGAAATAAATTTTTTGCTATTTTCATTATCTTTATAATTTTATTATAATTGAATTTATTTTATCGGAAAGATGAAAAAAGAGCAATCATTGATATTTCAATGAAATTTGATCGAAATTCTTTAAGTAATAATCCCTTTTATCTCTTGCGTTAATGGAAAATGTTGTTTACTTATTATTTTCCGTTATGTGAATTTAAAATAAATATATTGAAATATTCTGTGATAAATTTTTTCTTACCTTTATTGATAATTTAATTGGATATCTCTCTCTCTCTCTCTTATCAATGTTAATTTATGTATATTATACTTTAATTAATTTATTAATTATTTATTAAATTATTCATTAATAACTTATCCATTAAATTGGCATTCAAAAAAATAATCGTTAAATAATATAAAGAAATTGGTACGATTAATTTCATATTTAAAATACGAAAATATGAAAAGATTAGTAACATTTAAAACCGATTATCGTTAATGAATTAATTAATTAGATAAGATTTGATGTGATAAAATAAAACGATTAAATCCACCACTCTGTTTCAATAATCGATATTTATTAAATGGTCAAGAAAATTAAACATCTATTGACAAGTTGTAATTTCCCTTTGCAAAATTTAACCTAACATTCATAGTTTCTTACATTAATGGCTTGATAAGATGAGAAGTTTTAATTGGTCGATTCAATAGTTTGAATTCGTTTACCGAAAAATATGAATCATAGTTTATTGCAATAGCATTCATTACTCCCGTTATCAATTATCAAGAAGCAAAATGAACATTCACTATATATTAAATGCAAATAGCAATCATAATTCAAAACGAAAGACTTTCAAAGGCTGGCACAAAAATTAATATTTTCAATTGCTTAATATTTCGGCAGCTAAATTTAAACCAAACTCTCTGGAAATCTAAATTACAATTTCAGTTTTCTAATTTCATTCTTTTCTTCTTCCTATATTTATATTGAAAGTAGACCTCATGCCCATATTAGCAATACAGATAGTATTACCAAATTTTTTTTCCAACAATCTACAATTAATTACAATTCATCCTGATCATTACCATGAGAATTACATGTACAATTCCCTTTTCCATATTTATCACAGTGAAATAAAAGCTTGAGAAGATATGGAAAAGTTTTCCATCAGAAATGCACAATATTTTCTATCTTTTTTAAAGACAACTACCACTACTGTAAATGATAAACATAATTAAACTTTCACCAATCACAAATGAAAAAGAACTTTTGAGCAAAAATTTGATGCAGCAAAACAGTAATAAGCGTTAAAATCCATTGAAATCAAGAAATCATGGATATACAAATTGTGAGCTTGTACAAATTGATTCCTACTAGTTTACTGACAAATGATATAAGGATGTATTTTCTAAACAGTACATACACATATATTTCAGTAAATCATTTACTTTATTCTTTACAATTAGTCTTATTGATAAAAGCAATTAAAAAAAACTTCTAAAAGAAGAACAAAAAGAAATCTCATCACCGATTGAAACTGAATTAATCATAGAGTCATAGAGATGGTGCATATATTAAAGAAAATAATATCTTTGGAAAACTCCAGTGAAATCAAAAAGTTACACATTGATATGATGAAGTATACGGAATACAAAGAAAACGTTAAGAGCTCAAAATGAAAAAACAAATACTGAAAATATACCCATAGTTTAAAAATACAAATAATTCGTCCAGCATAAGCACCGCTAAATATAAAACAAGCGCTGACAAGATCTAGATAATTTCAATATATAACGAATCAGAACAGTTAATGAGTTTTTCCGAATGTTAGAGTAACCGTAGCATGTCGGATGATATCTACGGCCAGTAGCATCGAGTAAAATTAGCTGGTATCTGGAAGAATTAAAAAATAAAACAAATCCTAAACTTCAAATTTCAAATTTCAAATCAACTAATTAAATCAATTTAACTAGTTTTAAATGTTAACACGATAATAACGAAGATAATTCAAACTGAATGAATTACCTGTTTATCTTGTAAACCCAATTCCACTTTGCATACATCTGCATATGCACCATACCTCTCCAAACCACATTCAATAAATCCGGTAAAATAGATTGCATCATTGAACCAAGTCTGACCTAACATTTGAAAAGATTGTCAGACAAAACAGATATGAAAATTTATATTTTTTCGGTTTATAAAACTTCAGCAAAATCCAAAAGCTTTACGGATGAAACAAAAGAATTACATCAACTGAATACGCCAGCTTGTTTAAAATACCGTTTATCCCCGTGAAGAAAATTATAGGCCTCAGAAACATACCATCATCAAACTGAATACGCAATCGACTATTCCCACCAGCTTCACATTCTTTTGAATAAATCCTTGTCCATCCTTCCGCTTCTCCTTTTTCAACCATTGATCGTATGTAATACAAAATGTGGAAGATCTAAAAGAGAATTCGTTATTTTCCAGCTTTTAAACAGAAAAAGATAATTCGCAATATTTCCAAGCCCACAAAGTTTCGCAAGACCAAACTGGAATATTAATGAACAATATAAAAGACATATTATAAAATTTCTAAAATCGCTAAATCGAGCAAATTTTAGGTAGTCGAAAGTCTGTTCATTTAGTGTTTGCAGTTAAATCGAGACTGAAAAAAACACTTTTGGGAGAGATGGCGAATGTGTATGGAAATAAAGGAATTGAATACAACAGGGCACCTTCTGCTAGGAAAAGTTTGTGCTGGAGTTAACTTAATCAACAAACAGATTAAAGGGAATACTAATAGTTGCATTGCAAGTGCTCACATAGGAAGCCTAAGGAGAATCTATACTAGCAGCCATAATCCAACTAAATAAAAGTAAAATTTTATTTAGTAAAAGAGTAATACACACAAATAAAAGTAATACACAAACTTATTAATCAATAGGAAAAGCCAAAATCAGCAACCTGTTTCGAGTGTTCACCTGCATATCGAACATTCAGCATAATGTGTTTTGTCTTTGTTATATCTATAACTGTGAGATAATAATTATCATAATTTGTTAAATTTCGTTAAATATTGGAGAAAAATGATTCATCAATGAGAATTTGACATTATAGGTATCATAATATAAAGTATGGGAAAGTGGACTTATTTTAACTGTCGCATTATTTTCTATATTTAAGTTAAAATGAGTGAATCTTGAAAAGCGAACCTTCGAATGAATTCAACCATGTAATGTGAAGGCGTGATATACGTAAGCCTGGATAAATCCTTAGCTTAGGATAAACTAACGGGTGAGATTTTTTGCAACGCAAAGAATTTATGGAATCGTAACGAGGTATTGTAATCACATCTTCCTGAAATAACTTTTTAATATTCTGCAATATGAGTATGATTCCCTTCTACTCGATTTTAACGAGAAAAGTCAAATTAGAATATGAATGAATCTTTTGCGGAAGCTCGCAATAAATTAATAATTCCTGCCCGCAATTAGTTGCCTAAAAATTTGCTAACTATTCGTATTTGAAAAAGCAGCAAAATCATATAGACTTACGGGTGTAATATTCACTTTTTCATCACTTTCATCATCGCTAAGTACAATCACATCACTAATAGTTTCACTTCTTTGAACTTTTTTGATACCAGCTTGTTCATTACGATTTTTACGCTTCGTTTCCGTACTATTCAGTTTTAAATAACTGATTGCCGGAGAATGATTAACAATGCCTGAAAAACTTTCTGGATAAAAACTTGATGGATCTGTACTTTTTAATGTAGTTTCGAATAACTCGAAGCAAAATTGGTTAGTACAACACATTTTTAAATAATTTCCACCATTTCTATAATTCAAGTCAAGTACAACAAAGTAAATGACAAAGGTCATAAAGATGATTAAGATTATTATTATATATCACTGGTTATTATATATCACTGGACAAACCAGGTCTCACCAAAAATATTCTTATTCTGCAACAAAGTTATGGTAATAAGTTTGATCATTAATGTCATTATCAATAAAATTAAAACCTACAACATTAAACCAGTGATATATAATAAGGATTATAATCTTAATAGCGTAATTTCTTGATAGTGAGGATCAAAAAATAAAGTTAAATAGGATGACAAAAACATTTAAAATACTAGGATTTTTGCAGATGAAGATTTAAAAAAATTAAGCAAAGTTATTAGTAAACTCGTTATAAAACAGCGTCTAGAAAGTTAAAAAACATTGTAGTCGTCCCTATTCTGTTGGATTTAAAAAACAGTAGAGTTACAAAGAGTTGACTCAAACTGTCAATAAGAGCCTACAAATAGAACAGAAATAATGAAATTCAACATATTAGGTAAATTTAAATTCGAAAAATCAAAAAAACACAACTTATGAAAAAGATGGCCCGAATAAAAGTCTGAACCATATTAATTAAAAAAAAACCTTACTTTGCCCGTTCACTTGCGATGAATTATTAGTTTGTATGATTTTATATTGGGAATTAGTTGGCATCACAGCATGGCTGTTAGCATCCGATGATATCAACAAATTCAATGGTTGATTTACAGTAATTAAAGCATGAGCTGTTGCTGCTGTTTGGTTTTGTGGTGATAAACAGTTATCGCTGTTAGTTACAGCTTTTTGGGAAGGCGAAATAAACTGTTCCAAATTCATCGATGGCTTACGTGAAATGTTCGAATTAGTTAGACGTGACACCGGCACAGCTGAAACTAATTGATCAGAACAAACGCGATGAAATATGTCAAAGATCCATATTTTTTGCAATGTAAATATATCAAAAATTTCAACCATTTCCAGAATTCATTATTCTGAATAGCAAAATAAAAGTGTATAGGAAATTGATTATTCTGAATAGCCAAATAAAAGCGTATAGGAATTGATAAAAGCGTATAGGAATTAAAATAGATTATCAGAAAGCTATCAACACTTTTAGGAACAGAAGATCGAAGTATTCAAATATTTGAAAAAAGTTATACAAAAAGTTATTTAAAAATATATTTTCCTTCATTTTCCTCTCACTTTTTTTATAAAATATATTTTCCTTCATATTATACTTATTTTTTTTATTATTTAATACTTTGCTCTAGCTTCACCTTTATTCTATTTGTCCCAATTAGATCTAAAAACAAACTAACTATTCTTCCGAGCAAATTCATGGAAAATATTATTTTGCTGAGGTGAAACGAATTGTGTTTTCTCAGATTGTGTGGTATTGGCAGTGGAAATGTCCGCAGAAGATGATATACATGGTTTAGCATGTGACCGATGGTGACGCATTGTTGATTGTATTTTTGGTGAGCTTACAGCGTTCCATAATCCTTCCTCATTTTCTGTTTTCCAAAGTTTCTCCCACGTTTGAGCTGCTGCTGCAATCTAAAATAATAACTGCTGGTGACGTAGCGAAATGAACTGTGGCACAGAAATGACAATAAAAGTAAGTTTCACGGTTACCACATATGTGGACTAATGCCTTCCCTTACATTCAAACCTTTTCAAACAACTGCGGTTACGACTGATCAGGTATGGAACAGAATGATAATACAGAAATATCTATATCGATCAATCCATCAGCTCAGAGGCTTTTGGTATTATAAGAGCAAATTATGCGAACATAACATCTTAGAATATAAACTATAGCATGCATTGTTGCATGTTAATCAAGAAACAAAAACAATGAAGCATTCTGCACGATTCAATATAAACCGATGATGCTAATTTTAACTTCCATAATATAAACAAATATTTGAAAGATTAGCAGTAACCAGTAAATGAAATGCATTTTAATTGAAGAAACACATTTACCGATGTTCCAGGATGGTTACTGGCGATGAAGCAACTGAACTCTCGAATTGTACACCGTATCGTTGACAAATTTTCGCGTAAAACTTTAATTGATGCATCCTGTAATTTGAAGAATAACTTTGAGCAAAATTAGAATTTAAATTAATTGCCTCAGTGAACCAGGAACAAGAAATTTGCGATCGATTTTCCAAAATTATAAACTAATTGTTTGGCAACTAGTTTGGCTAAAGTCGGCATCTTTCGATATTTTCTGGAGCAATGGTCCGAAATAATTTTCTGCATTTTGAGCAATTAAATCAGGAAAACTTAAAATGATAGCTTGCCTTAGCCCGGATTTCCTCCTGAAGACTTTTAATCAAAGAATTTAATTCACGTTTTTCCACTTTACAAGCTTCAATGACACACGGCAACTGCGATGTATAATATGTCAAAATCTGAAATATAATTAGTACAAAATATTTTTTATCCCAAAAAAGTTCTCCTTACCTTTACATAACAGCTCTACGAAAATTTTTAAAAAATAAAGGCAAAAAAAAATTTTGGAACTTTCACATCAAAGAACATTATTTCGGACACAATCGTTTTAAATTAATTCTAAGTACGAATTCCTTTAGGCTGAGAAATTACATTTAATGTGGGATACATCTGTATCTGAAAAATGCAATAAAATCTCATCAAAAATGCAATTTGCAAATAAAACCCTTTCTATACAATATCCAAAATTTAATCAGTATACGGCAAGTAAAACTGCAATTTACAAATTCACCCCAATCCATACAAGTATACAACAAAAATCTATTGCCACACGTATATTATAAACGAAATTTACCTATATAAATGTATTACGAGAACAAACTAATTGCCTCCTACAGAAATCTAACACGAATATAAAATTATTTTACCAACCCTTTTCAACTCATTTTTTGTCACCACACGCTTACGGCAACCTTTGCATTGCAATGCATTTTTTTGAATTGGTTCAACCGGCTCCATTCCTGCAGTAAAACAATCAAAATTACATTTGAGAATAATTTCCCATGATAAAAATTAAATTGATACATTTTAACGAGAAGCGAAGCATTTTACTTTGAAGCAAGACGGCTCAAAAAAAAAGATCGACTTAAAAGTTTTGTTTGAATCCTGAAACTATGGTGTTCCACGATGAAACAAACATATAAGTTACGGTATTAATCAGTGATAAAATTTTTACGTTACATGTTTAAATAATCGATCCCATATTACTTAACAATGAGTGAATGCTTCGTATCCGTACTATATGCAGGGTTTTTTTTCTCGTCTGCCATAATCCTTCTTTTTCAGGTGTGATTAATTGAAATTTTCTTATTCTTATCTCTGATTGCTTTCCTGCAGGTAATCAGTATTTTCCTCGACTGTCACATTCCCTTTCGTTGTATTGTTGTACTCCTGTTTTCCATCACTCACATTCATCTATCTCACTTTTTCAGGTACTAATCATTCAAAACAACTAAAATAATCCACACGAAAATCCTAGTTTCATAAGAAATGTTTCAATTTATATACTCAAATTCTAAATTCAAAATTTAAAAATATGAAATCTAAATTTCTCTTATATATGATAATATCATGTATAATGTTAGATGATAATAACTTTATCAGTTAGGTTAATTTTAGGATTCGAATTCAGAAATTCAAACTTCTAATTTCAAAATCGAAATATTCAAAAAAATTTGTTAACCCAAAAAAAAAAAAAGATTTAAACAATGATATCTAATGATAAACAAAAAAGTTGCGATCACATTTGCCGTAGTTTATCTATCAGTCGAAAGATGCATGTCTATGAAGGAAATGAGACATTACATTTCCATTCAATTTTTTAACACATAGAATGAGAGAATAACCGAAATAGCATTGTAAACATATAATGGGAGAAAGTATGAGAAATGCAGGATGTGTGCTGGAAACATGCCAATGCAATATAAATTATCGATTAGTTGGAAGAGTAATTTGATATTGATTAGTAATTGATTGGAGGGATGATGAAATTAATCGACTGATTAATTGATTAATTAGCTATCGATTAACAAATCTAATGAATGGGATTAGTTTCAATTTGTGAAAATGATTCTTGCATCGAATAATTAATATTAATCGGAAATAAAATTTTATTTTGTAGAAGTGATCATAATCGATCGTTTAAATGTATTTAATTTGTTTGACTTGAAATTACTCCCAATATCAAACATAACTATTTTACTATAATTAAATTTAAACGTATTATAGCATTTACGGAGAAACTTGAAATTTGCTAAGTATTTGAAAACCTAAAATTTGTTTCTTTTTAATTTTTAAATTGATGGAATGATTGATAGAATAATTGCTGAGGAATACATACATTGTTCAAATAGTGAAATGGACAAAATGGTTTTGTTTCTAAATTAATGCGAATGTGGAAGAAGGAATTGTGAAAAATGTCTTAAGGTTCAAAACAATTGCAAAACTGTGCAATAATATCGATTATTTAAGGTTTCCATTATCATTATTTTAGGCTATTTAAGGCTATCCAAGATAGAATAGATTTAGGCTATTTAAAGCTATCCAAAGTAGAATAGACTTAGGCTATTTAAGGCTATCCAAGGTAGAATAGATTTAGGCTATTTAAGGCTATCCAAGATAGAATAGATTTACTCTATTTAAGGCTATTCAAGATAGAATAGATTTACTCTATTTAAGGCTATTCAAGATAGAATAGATTTAGGCTATTTAAGGCTATCCAAGATAGAATAGATTGAAAAATAAGGAAATAAAAGAAGAACCAGAATAAGAGCAAACGAAATAAAATTTGAATATATCGGAAATTATTATACAATCAGTTTTCACTGTTTATAGGATGAATCAGAATCATTATTTAAATTCCGATTAAAAGGAGTTGGTTACTTTTTCTATCAAAGAGAAATTATAGAACGATGAAAAAATATTTCAATAATTAAAGACTATTAATCTATCCTAATTTATGCATATATTATAATTTCTGAGTTGAATGATAAATTGATAGAAATTCACTTAAATTTTGACATTAAGTAATAATTTAATTAGTGGATTAAAATGAGAAAAAAAAGAATGGAATAAAGTTAGCATAATTAACATATGAATGGATAGATTTAATTATAGCAAATTTAATCTATATAAATAAATCGGAATAACAAATTCAGTCGGATGACATTCTTTTTGTTTGATGAAAGATGACATACCTTGTCATGTAAATAATTTATTTACACTTAATGACTTGTCATAATAATCAGTTGTTAAATATTGAAATGAATTTTAAACATCGAAATATGTTTGTTTACTATTACTGATTTATTTGGATTTTCGTTTTCACACACACACACACACACACACACACACACACGTACACACACACACACACACACACACGTACACACACACACACACACACACGCACACACACACACACATACACACATACACACACACACACACACAAAATATTATAATTTGTTTTGAAATAATCTGGAAGGATTTTATTTTTATAAATTCAAATATGCATATCTCTTTCTTTTTCCACCTTTTCATTTAACTAGTTTTATTTTTAATAAATGAATAATTAATTAATTAGTTTTAAAAAAATTAAACTCTCTCCTAATATTTTAGTCCAGAATTTTTAGACAATTACAATAAAAAGATTAAGATGTATTTATTAAATTTATACAATAATTAATCAATGTAATTTAATACTTAATATTAATTCAATATGTGGTTTTAAATCACAAAAATTTCACGACATATTATTATTAACGTTCTACAAAGATAATCGCAATTAATTTGGTAATTTAATTATCTCGATTAATTTGGAAATTTAATTGATCTTATCTTTCCTTTCGAGTGATAATAGTGATAACCAATCAATTCATTTAATTTCACATGAGACTTTTCTATTTTTTGAAAAAATTTTTTTCCACATAATTTTTGCTTGATAAATTTTTCAGCTCGATTAAATCCATTCTTGTTGACGGAATGGCTCAGAAAATAAATGTGATTTTGACATTTGCATATTTGAAGTATTTCATAAATTTTACGACAAATCGATTTATTCAAAAAAACTATTTTTAATTAAATGAAAAATACTGAAAATTCGAAATGGAAAAATTGAGAAGAAATCTGCCACTTCAAATGAAATGCCTTTTTTTCCAGAAAATTTGGCAGATTTTAAAAAGCATTAAAGATTAAATTTAGTTGAAGAAAATAAAGCACATGCATGTGTAGCATGCAACCTTCGACATTCAACATTTATTAGCGGTATCGTAATTGTAATAGGTATTTCATTAAAATATGATCATATTTTATAATGGTGTAAAATATATCATGATGTAAAATATGACCATATATAATGTATATTATGTAATATATATATATATATATATATAAATATGTACATACATAATTATTACTATTTTAGGATTTATTAATATATCGGAAATGGCTCAAATTTAACTTTTCATTCATATACAATGAAAATTTATGGAATAATGAGTAAGTGATTTTAACATAAAAAGCTATTAAGTAATAATTATTTACTTATTGTTTTATACATTTTTCTTAACTATTAGCAAAGGTTATTTACTTATTATTTTATACGTTTTTCTTAATTATTACCAAAGGTAAACACTGGCCAAAAATAAGCACATGAAATTCGAATTCCAATTTGAAATTTAAAATAAAATTTAATACAGTGTACATATACTTTTGAATTTATCAGCAAATAATTTATTTGTGGTAATATTTGTCGTAAGAAATGTTTTAAAATAATTTGAGTAAATAAATCAAATAAAAATGAATTAAATTTGTAAACTGTTGCAAAGAGAAATGCAGATGATATAATTATCATTACTATCAATAATAACATATTTATGCAATTTGTAGCATAAGTGTAAAGTCCACGTAAACGTGTAGCAACGTAAACAAACGTAAACATGAGCGTTTTGAGCGTTTTCTTTGAGTAAAACAAAGATGATACATTAAATGAAAAATCTCAAACAAATAACCTGAAGGAATGCACTGGTTGAAGATGACTAATAGTGAGTGAGAAAAGGGTAAGATATGATTTGGATTAAAAATTTCTTAATTTTTGAAGTCTTATTTTCACATCCTCATATCATTGATGAACCCATACATAGTTTACAATTTTACAAGTAAGTAAGAAAACACAACTCTACACGTAAGTAATTAGCATCACATCCTCATGTCACTGGTCAACCATACATCGTTCACAACTTTACACGTAAGAAATTAGCATCACATCCTCATGTCACTGGTGAACCACACATCGTTTACAACTTTACACGCAAGAAATTAGCATCAGATCCTCATGTCACTGGTGAACCACACATCGTTCACAACTTTACACGTAAGGAATTAGCATCACATCCTCATGTCACTGGTCAACCATACATCGTCCACAACTTTACACGTAAGAAATTAGCATCAGATCCTCATGTCACTGGTGAACCACACATCGTTTACAACTTTACACGTAAGTAAAAAATTAGCACGTAGATTGAAATTTAGTTTTATCCTTTTAGTTCAATTCAAAACAAAAAAAGATTTCTCTAAACATCTGTAATTGAGATTAATAATATCAAATGAGCAACGAAAACAATTCTCTATCATTTCTTGAATTTAAATTCGATTATTTTAAATGAGTTTTGAAGTATTTAATTTCCATTAATAATATCAAATTTTCACGGACATTTAATTTTTCGATAAATTTCTGATATTTTGAAAAGAAAAAAAATGCCGTTTAAAACAAAAGTTTCTACGAATAAATTTAATCAAAATTCTTAAATGTCCTAAAAAAAAAAATTTTATTTTCAATTCCAATTTTATTATTTGGTAATTAAGTTTAAAAAGAAAATTTTTTACCTAATTTATTTTCAATTCCAATTATTAAGTTTAATTGAAATTAATTAATTTATATATTATTCTTTTGTCTT